CTGTGTGTGTTCTAGGCCACAATAACCTGAGGAAACACACTTCCAGATTATTGCTTTCAATAAAATATAAAGAGCTTCCAGTACATCTTAGCCTAAATAACAAAACATACCACAGGGTTGTGCACACACAAGCAAATTTACACAAGCTGATTATTTCAGCTATTCGTGACATAAATGGCTTAATTGCAACTTAAGCCCGATCACATGACGCCGTGGTATCATGCAGTGCTTTTTTTTATACTGCTCCATTTGAGGTTATTGCAATTTGGACTGTATTTTTGCTGTTGTGGCCATCATTTGAATCAGTTATAATAACACAGGAAAGCCATTACTGGGTTCTGGGAACGAGACAACATCATGACAACAAAGACCGCTGTGGAACAAAAAAACACAGACAAATCACATGATAAGAGAGGAACCAAACCGCTTTGTTGCTTATGTTTGTTTAGTAGTAAGTCTGGATTTGCATTATTATGTACATTTGTTTGTGCACTGTGTTGTGTGTGAGTATGTAGAGAGTTTGTGAGAACAATTCCTTGTACATGTCAATGCACTTGGCCAGTAAAGTCGATTTTAATTCTGATAAATATAAAGTTGAAGCTGGTCTGTAAACTGTGATGGATGCTTACAATGGACAGTTTGGGTAATCATTTCACTGTCCAGTATGATCATCTTACTCTGCATGCTTTTTGCCTCATTGGACTTCCTGTGCATTTCGTGTAGCTGCATTACCACATTTTAGCACTTTGCAATGCTGCAGCTTCGATCAGATTTACAAAGCTTCATAGCACGTCTTAACCCACTCTTACGTTGTCTGGCCAGTGTTACTGCTCTTGTTCACTCTCACTGCTCTTACTGGCCACTGGTAGAAGCTCACTTTGTATAAATAAAGACTTTGGTCAGTAATAACAGCAATTGCAATCTGATTTCATGCTGCATGCGGTGCAAAAACAATGTGCAGGGAACAGCGAAGCTGAATATTTTTCTGACGCTTTGGAGCCATGTGGCCTGCAGCTCTTCTGTGGCTGCTCCATTTTTGTTCCATTACTTAACATACTGATATCTGTCAGTTGTCAAAAACTGCTGTAAATGGCGGTTTTGTAGATGATTGTGATTAGTGCTGACTGCAATGACAAATATACAGTGTTTCCCATGGCTCTCAAGAACAGCCACCCAAAGCTGATATCAATTAGATAAAAGTATGGTGAATTACATACATGAATTGTGTTGTGAAACTTTGCGCATGTGCAGAAATAGCTTTCCACTGCTAATGAAACGTACTATATCGTGAGATAATAAGCGACTGTAATACAGTGAGAGGTTATTGCCATTAGAAAAAGTGATCAAAAAATGGTTTGACTTCATAAGAACGAAAATGGTGATTACAATGTTATTATTCCCAATATAAACGGTGGCAAAAGCTACACATATAAGGCCCAACTCTCTACAAACCACAGATGTATTTAAAATTAAACAACCGATCAGCAGCTCCACATCCTTCACTTTCTGCATTTCTCAGTTATTCCCTCCATCCATTGAAATTCTTCTGACTCTGTTACTTTCATTTTAATCACCTTTTACTGGCTTTTTCCTGTCCTGCCCCTTCAACGTCACAGGGGTCAGGAGCGGTGTGTACAATGTGTATGTGCGCCAGAGTGAGACTGCCGCTTAAGGTGTGTGTCTTTTGTATGTGTGTGTGTTTGAGAGGAAGGTGCAAGCTATCTATAGCCTGTGTATCCCTGGGGATTTGAGTCTTAAACTCCATATTCATGACACATCACTGTGGGGATTAGAAGGGCATCATCAGATAGAGGGGCTTACGTCAGCGGACACACACACTCTCACGCACAGAAAATAACAGAGACACACTCTCAGCATCAGTCTCACCCTGGAAAGCACAGCATACACACTTTCCAGGAAGTTCTTTACTTATTTCTGAAGGAAGTGCCTTTCATCCACACACACACACATTAATGAACCATTGAGAGGACTCTGTTCTGTATCTACAACCGCTAAAGTTGCCAGGACAATCGCTTTGTCTCACTAACCCGAATAGTTCAATACAATGATTATTTGCCCATTAGAAACCAAGAGCTTCCAGTGCTCAACTAGCTCTGCCAATTCAAACACTCTGAGTTGGAGCGGCGAGCACAAACCAAAATGTGTGAGATGGAGGTGGAGGTGGGGCGGCGCAGGGAGTTGATTATGAGGCCAAACCACATGGATGCTGATCTGCAGGGGAGGTGGAGAGGGAGGGGGGTGTTAGTGCAGGCAGCATGGATCTGTGTTGTGATTGTTTGTTCATGGCTGGGTGTGCATCCATGTGTGTGTGTTCTTATCTCCTCTGGTCCACAGCAGCAGGAGCATCAGAGGAAGCACGGCCTTTCCTTCCTGTGCCTTTCACACTGTCACAACACACACGAGCCATAAAACTCGGTGGCTCCGTCCAACATATAGGGAGAACGAGAGAAGAGACAGCGAGAGATGGGTTAGCGTTGGAGCGCAGAACATGTGTGTGTGATTTGCGGCGTGCAGCGCATACCATTTAATTGACACAACCGCCTTCTTCTGTTTGGCGAAGAGTTGTTTTCTACTGGGACAGAAACAGGGAGCAATTGAGGGCAAGATTCAAAAACAGCTGAGGTGAATGGAGGGGGGGGGGGAAGTGGCCTTGCAGCAGCAGAGGGATGGTGGATGTTCTGTAAGGGCTGGTTCTGTCCACAGGGGAGCTGAAGAAGGACACCACGCCAACCTATATTCTGCACCTGGCACTCTGCTCTGGCAGGCAGCCATTCACCCGCTTCCCTATTTCACCCTGTTTTGCTACCCATCTACTCCTCAACAGCCCCCAAGTCATCGTTCTCGGTCAGTTACAGAGCTGTCAGTAGCACTATCAGTCACTGACTGGAATATAAAGGCAAGCTGGGGAGGCCCACTAAAAAAAAAGAAGAAAAAAACTCAAAGAACAGAGAAATGCTATTTCTAAGTGAAGAATTCTTAAGTAAAAATCCAATTAGAAGATGGAAATGATCATTTTATGGAAATATCCTAATCCTGCTATACAGTGTTGGTCCCTATTTGCAGGATGAACACAGCATCAACAAGAGGAACATTTTGACTGCTTTCTGATCATAAGAGCACACAGTAATGTATTGGGAGATATAAACACTAATTTAAAGTGCATTTAAACAGTCCAAACTTTCGAGGATGTTTGAAAAAAAAAAAAGTAATTCACACACAATTTTTAGGGTTTGGAAATTATAGCAAAGATGGCCTCTTTTCCTCACCTTAATTAAATACTACTAATTCTGAAGTAAGGAGAAATCAAACCATTTACATTTTTACAAAATACTGCTAGCACTGTTAAAAGCTTATATCACCTCCCAAACTTCACTCATTTCTTGAGGGAAACCTCGTTACTTCCTGCTTAGCCGCTGTTCCAACATTGCACCCCTTTACATGAATCAAATGGTAATTTAACCGGTTGGTATCATGTCTGAGGAAAGCATCCTGCTCTGTAAAAGTCAACACATAAATCCGACCCAGTAACATTTTCACACCACTTCCAACAAGAATAAGTCTGAATGAATTCATTTGCATTGACAGAAAGATGGAGGGTCTTTTTACTTTTAGTGTGCTTACCAATTAGGACAGCCTTGGATGTGATGCTTGAAAAGCTGCATCCAAATCTCACACACCATTCAGATGTAACAGGTTGGGCTTGAACAAAAGGTTCCATTTACTTTACTGCTGTCTTTTCAGTATCAAATACTCTGTACAAGTGGGCTTGACAGATGGAACTGGAAGCTTTGTATGTTGGAGAACAGCAGCTGTAGTCAATTTGCATTCACACTTATTACAATGGTAACCCTAAATCTGGGTATGAAATAAGAAAAAGTGGCAAAACTCGTCAAAACAAAAGCTCAAACTGCCTCTTAGAGCACATTTCATTCGTCCACCTTTGATGAATTCTGTATATTCATTGCTTGCTTTAACCATTAATGATAAAACTGCTACTTTTGGCCAAAAAGTGCCCCAGAACAGCTCTGTGTTGTGCAGGCATTTTGGCATAGTGTTGGTCCCCAAAAAACTTTTCCATATATGCTATCATGAAATTTAAAAAAATCTAAATAAATCACACAAAAAAGGGTGAAAGGTGCAAAGTACAGCAATGAAAAAGAGCAAAAGTATTACCTAAACTTCACATCAGTACCTACAAAAACCATGAGCACAGTCTGAGCATCACAGAACCAAAGAAATGCTTCTCTGTATTACTGCTGGATAATGTAAGCCATTAGGTTCAATAAAAATGAGAAAGCATCTGTATTCGTGTATTATTTTCGGCCATTAATGTTTGGGGTATAGACAATCTGCACGCTGAGAGAAGGACTCGTGTAACGTGAAGGCTCTAAAATGCAGAAGCCTGAACAATGTTTTCAGAGTGTGCAGCCCCTGAGCAGCACTCGCAGAAATGAATGGGAGGCCATGTAAGAACACACAGTTGTCTTAACACATCCATTATGTGGAGGCGATGGTGCGACAGCGGAATATTAATACTGAATCCCATGATAGCAAAAGAAACACTGTCCTACACTTTGATTAGGACGGTGTTGAAATATAGAAATTCACAGTTTTTGCTCTTTTATTAGAGATCCAAACACACAATATGTAAAACTGTGGGAAATGGTGGGAAAATGAGTACACACCAAGTGTTATGAACACACACACACAGATGTGCTCACACACACAGAAACACTCTCTTTCCATAGAGTACTGATGTGGGAACGGTGCCAAACCAACACTTCATTTCAATTTCAAATCCGAGGCCTGACTTTGACCTTTCAGCACAAAACTAGTTATGGACTCACTCTCAGCTCCTTTCTCTCTCTTCCCGCCTGTTATGCTGCTTGTCAACACACACTGCTCACCTTCATCTTGCCCACAATTTTAATCAGCTTTTTTTTTTTCTTTCATTTTCCTTTCTGCATTTTCTCTCTCACCACATCTTCTGACGAATTCCAGCATCTCCTAACAAGAAACCGTAAGTGACTTGTTCGGCTCATCCTCGGTTACTTCCTCTTCCCTTTGGCCTTTGAGCAGCGCTTCCTGCCTCTTGTCTGTTAGTTCTGCGGAATGTCACCTTTCATCATTATGGGACATTGACACATCTGTCGCTGAAAAATGTGAGAGCATTTCTCTCTGCTATTAAACTGTCAACAACGCTGATTGTGTGAAAGAAAAGGAAGAATAGAGGTAGGAGGGAAAGTGAGGGAAGTGAGAAAAAAGGGTGTGGGTAGAAGAATGAGTGTGCAACCAGTAAGGACATGTTTTATTAATACGTGGAGCCAAAATTAAATTTATCATGTTGTGCCTTTTAAAAATGAACATGAGCCCTAATGATGACAAAGCTCTCCACAGGTATACCTTTGGGAAAACAATTAGGACATTTTTATTTGTTTTGGGGCGTGATCGTGACATAACCAGTGACATAATAGCATCAAAAGGCATCCCAGAATGAGATTTACAATCATTTCTCACTTCATCTTCCAAATGTTAAGTTTTCTGATCACCAAATGGCAGTTACACAACACTAGTAATGGGGAGGGAGAGTGTTGCTCTAAGCCAGAGGAAGGGCGTGAGTGTAAAATAACACTAAAAACGACACCAAAGGAAGAAACGAGATGGAGAAAAAGAGTGGGAGGAAAGTGGGAGATGGAGAGGGGGTACCCAGGCGGGTGTTCCAGAAACCTGTCAAGGTATTTCCTTCTGCAAACACAAAATTTGTGGGACTGCACAGTACAGGCATGCAGGCGGACACACATACATAAAAATCCAATGCATTATGCTAAAAATACGCAGCAGTGGTCAACAGCGCAACTTTGATTTAACGCATTCTTTGATTGGGTAGGTCTCAGGCCAACTCCTGATTTCCTGTGCAGGACTGTGTGTCGTCCACAGCTGTATGAACGCGCGCACACACACACACAAACCAACTTAATGAGCCATTCAATACCCCCACAAGCTCCAGACTTTGTGAGCCTCCGCGCCAGCGTCCAGGTCCCTTGGTATCTCATGCCTTTAACACCCCCACTCCAAATACACTTTGGTCAATGTCTCGTCACTCCGAATTCTACCACACATATGCCTGCATGCGCTCACGTAAATATGTACACACCTACGCACTCACAGACACACACTATGTCCCACTGCTCTCCTTCCACGCCAGCTGTAGTCCGCCCAATGTGTTTACATAGCCTGCTGAACCAAGAAAAGAGAGAGAGAGAGTATTGGATGGACAGACCGTGGCTGTTTGTCTGAAGGGGCTTTCCTGTTCTCATAGGAAATGGCAAAAAAAAAAAAAGAAAGAAAAAAAAAAGGGGGAAACCAGGAGCAGGAGATGAAAATAAATGAGACAACAAAGCAAATTATAGGAGAATGAGACCAGCAGAATGAGCAGTAGGAGACAAACAGACAGTAGCAAAGAAAAAGGTCATGGATGCTGGTGGAAACAACTGTCCCGCTGTTCAGATAATCCACAAGACAGTGAGCACAGGACTGGAATCACGATCTCCTCTCCTCTGCCGCCTCTTACACACACACACACACACACACACTCCCCCCTACTGTTGGTTGGATCACAGATTAGACTGTTATGCAAACCTGCACCGTATCATAACAGCGATGTTGCATTTTTAATTTTGACTTTGCCACCTGTGGCTGTTGACTCACAGTGTGTTAAACCTCAGAGTGGATTGTGGTCTCTTCATGGCTAATGTCTCAAACTTTCCCACGATTATTCTGAAATCAAATTCACGCTTTGAATGGATTGAAGTAATTTACTGATACTGTGTGTTTTCCCTGCTCCAGAGCCATGTGCCAGTGCGGTGAGTTTGAGTGGGTCTGTGGCGTGAAGCTCGTGCCCTCTGGTCACGGACGTAGGTTAACGCTGTGTCTGTCCTGACTGGCTGTCTAGACCCGATGACTCCAGCATGTGTGTGACAATGTACGTGTTTGATGATGGTGGAGGGACGTAAACAACCATGAATCACTAAATATTGATTTAAAGCTGTTAATTACTCCCCAGCATGCACAGTGAAAGACAGCAAGAGCGAAAAACTAGTTTTTCTAATGTTTTCAAGACGTCTTGTTCTCCCTCATTCTTTGCCATCATTTTTCATCTTTTTCAAATTTCCCAGAGTGCAGCGTCTGACAGTCAGTCTGGCATTTTATTTGTAGTTTCTACCAGATAAACTACAAAAGATTAACCAGTTTTCTGTGTATATACAGGTTGATGAAGCTCCTGCACTAACACACGTGTGTTAACTAAACAGCAAATGTTGCCTAGTTATTTTTTTCACATTTAATTCTTTAGTTATTTGCTGGTAATATGGCATCAACACACACTTTCCACTCTTGCAACAGGCCCAGAGTTCTGCTGCGTGTATATGTAAGCTTTAATTGATGGATACAAGTAGAATTAATTTGATGCAAGAGGTGAAACACCAAAAAGCAGAAACAAACACTCTCCCTTAAACACACCCTTTTACAAACATTGATTTATTTCTTAACAGTCCACAATTACGCTCACGAGGTCTACAATTTTGATTACTGTGTGCTACTAAACATCGGATTAGTCTCGTTAAGCCTTCTTTAAGTGTCGTCTGAGCTCAGGTCGCCTATAGGTGTCAGTGCACAAAGTGTTTGTCAAATCTCTGGAACCCAAACATCCCACACCTTTCCAGCATTAACACGTCATTGCAGAGATTGGTGGGGACACGGGAAAATAAGGAGGAATTGAACTCCTAATGCCTTCAATAAGACTGAAAGAGTGTGCTGTTATGCCATGTAACACCTCTATGATGAAAGCGTTAAGAAGGGTACACACACGTTTTCCTTTCGACAATGTTAGACAACACATACAGAAAGCACTTTATTTCAAGGCATCCATTAAGAGCTATGGGTCCAAATAAAAACAGAACAGGATGGATATGGATGTTTAGAGATACTGTAATTTGCAATTAACATGTAGCTTTAGGTCCTGAGCTGTGTACGTATAGATCACTTACAAGTTTGCAGAACAAGACTCAAATGTCTTCAACCTTCCACTTCTCTGCCTGCACCTCTCCCTGTTATGTGCAGTCATTTCCTTTGTGGTGTTGTAGTGAGGGAGCTGTCCACCTCTTACTGGAAGGCACTCCTCCTCCACTCATGCAGTCCATCCTCCCACCTCCAACAGCCCCTGCTACATTCCTTCATCTGTAACTATTCTATAATATACTTTTTTTTTTTTCTACAGTCTGTCTGTTTGCTTCGGCTCCTGCTCTCTGTCTGTAAAGCAGAGTGGAGGGCCTCTCAGCAGCTTGTTTGACCTGTGATAAGGATTTTGGGGTGGGGGGCGGGGACGGGGGGACAAATATTGTTGCTCAGTGAAGCCGAGCACATGCTGTTCTTGTTCTGAACCGGCTGAGAGTATAAAAAAAAAAAAAGGCGCTGATGAATACACGCACAAGACGCACATGAAAGAATCAGGGGAAGCCACTGAGAGTGAGAAACGGCAAAAGAGAGGGATGCGACATATAATTGTGCTCTAATGAAACATAAACAGTGCAGTCTAAGGGAGTGTGTCTGGGCAGGGCCCCCAGCTGGCCTAAAGGCTCTGCTCTCCTAGGCTCTTAATTATGACTGAGGAGGTCAGTCACGCCTCCTCTAACCTCTCACCTAATACTCTAAGTATTGTAAATATTGTGTGCTTGTTTATATGTTTGCGTGTCTCCATGCGACTCCGTGTGTTTACGTGCGCTGCGTGCGTCAGAGAAAAATACAGAGAATGTCCACTTTGCGGGAAGCAACTGCCGCGAATGTTCTCCCGACTGTTTTCATTGAACACTGTACAGTGATGGAGCTAATTGCGGATGCCCACCTGCTTCTTTAACGCCCAGCGGTGGTCACATTCACTCTCTTTTTTACAACCATGTACTTTTTCCTCTTTTCAATCCTGGGAGGAAAAGCGCAGCTGTCACATACCTCTGTTTCAGGGGGTCGTACTTGTCTCGGAAAAATGGCATTGAAGAGCGACTGTCCTTTTGTTTTCTAAGCATGTGTCCCGTGTTACCCAGACCCACCGGACCTCCCACTGTCTGACTACTCTAAGAAAGGATAACAACTTAGAAATGCAAGCTTCATTCTGCTCTGTAACATCATTGCGTGGTTGTTTATTTGAAGCAGGTGTGCGTCCAACCGCTGTGTAGTGTGTGGGAACGTCACTTGCGGTCAAACTAGGTTTAACTAAAAGAAGGGTATTCCCAGCCAAACAGTCTGGCCACAAAACCCAGACTAACTAACCTCAGTGTCTGGGTGGCTGGTCTGAACCTCGCCGTCAAAGTTCTAATCAGTAAGCACATTACACACTATTATGGTTACAGCAAGGGAGGGAGAGACGAAGATCAAAAGACGAAAGACAAGACATTTCAGTTGCTGCGCAGATATTTGTGCTGTTGGATGTTTGTCTCGCTTTGTCATATGTCGTGCTAATAAAATCCCCACCAACCTGAAAACAACAGAGGGGGGACAGAAAGGAGAAGACACCTGTTTACGTCACTTTCTCACAGTCCTTGTCTCTCCTCTATTTCTGTTGTTCCCTTTCCCTGTGAACAGACAGGTGAGAGTGGAAGAGCTAACCAGGAGACCATGACCTCTTGACCTCTCACCTCTAATTTGGATCATCAGTTGGTCTGCTCCGGGTGGCCAAATGAGTTGACCTGACCTCAACCCTAACAGTGACCTAGAGTCCCTGCCAGTTGTTATCCGACTGCAACAGTACACAATGAGCCTGGGAAAAAGACAAGGGAGAAGAAAAATACCAGTGCATTAATACTATAACTTTCCTAAGTAATGGTGGAGTAGTATTACCAGCAAAAAGTACTTAAGTCTCAAAAGTAAAATGACTCATGAACCCTGCAACTAGTAGATGTGTAATTGTATTATACTAATAGGTTGTTAAATGTCAGTACATGTGTGTAAGATGGTTAGCTGAATTCATTAGAGATCATTTTAACTGCTTCTAAGAGTTACAAGATAAATCTGAGGGG